TATTTTCGTTGGCTCCGAGGGGGTCCTGCGTTGTGCGGGGCTACGCAGATCTCGAATTGCGACATGTTCTGCACTTGCGTGGGGTCCTGGGAGGTCCAGCGACCAAGGGACCAGTGAGGTCTAGTTGAAATGCCTTGAAGACGTCAAGAATCAACAACATGGCGACCATTTCAAAACCCGTATTTGGCCCCTCTGTACGCTTCCTCTTCTTCTGCTGCTTTTTCTTCTCCTTCCTTCTTCCACCATGCGTTCGCGGTCGCGACATCGTGCCACGTTTACATCAAACAGATGAAATTTTGAAACCAGGATTGGCCCACGAGACCGGAAATGAACATAGACATGATGGGCGCGTTCTCAAGACACCTGGCTGGGTGACAGGCGCTTGCAATCCTGACCAACATCGATGGTGATGTACGTGCCATGGGGCTGTGCTGCGCTGTGTCGTGCCGAATTGCAATGTATTATGCCGCGTTAAATTAAACTGTGATGTATTGCGTTGTGGACCGAATCGTCCTTGCCATCATAATCCTGACCGAACTGACATGGATCTCAAGCTCGGGTTGCATGAACGCATAGCTCGCCTGGAGCTGGTTGCAACCGAAACGTGTGGGGCGCTCAAGAATAAGCTCGAACTCAGTGTCCGAGTCACTTCCGAAGCGGGGCGAAGCAAGAGCAGGCGAACCCGAGCCGAGGCGAGACGCACCGATTGGGGACGCACCGAAACGCGACGAACCGAGGCGTGACGAGCTGAACCAAGACGAACCACATCAATTCGAACCGAGACGAGGGCCGACCCTTCTCCTCCCTCCTCCCTCCTCCCTCCTCCTCCCTCCCTCCTCCTCCTCCTCCTCCTCCTTTCTCCCTCCTCCTCCTCCTTTCTCCCTCCTCCTCCTCCTCCTCCTCCTGCTCCTCCTCCTCCTCCTCCTCCTCATCCTCCTCCGTCGGCCGCCCGCTTCAGAGCCTCGGCGCCGCGGGCGCTGGCCTCGGGGGCAGCCCGTGCGGACGCACCGAGACCGGCACGCACCGAGCACGCTTGGGCCCACCGTTTCGGAAACCATATGGCGTCTCCTGCCGGAGGGGCCGCGCTCCTGCAGCCGAGACCCTCGTATATCTCGGGGATGGGCAGACCTCCCTTTAGTAAAACGTGGTTTAGCGAAAACGACCTCGGGCCCAAACCTGGCGGGCGCAAGCCTGGATAACATAACGGCCACGGCGCCCTCACAAAAAGCCGAAAACGGACAATTCACTAATCGACGTGTCAATGTGAAGGGTTCTGTCCACCCCCGAATGTTACAGTGCACCGTGCGCCCCCGAGGGCAGCGATCCCGGCGCAAAGTGCGATTCGTCCGCGCTGTGCTGAACCGTGCTGCGCCGTGCTGTGTGGACCTGTGGTGTGATCCGGTGCGGTGCGGGTCATCCTTGGCATCTGAATCCGGACGAAACAGATCTGGATCTTGAGCTCGAGCTGCCTGAACGCATAGCTCGCCTGGAGCTGGTTGCAATCGAAACGTGTGGGGCGCTCAACCGACTCGAGCTCAAGATCCGGGTCAGCTCCAGAACGGGGCGAAGCAAGAGGAGGCGAACCCGAGCCGAGGCGAGACGCACCGACAGGGGACGCACCGAAGCGTGGCAAGCCCAGACGCGACAAACTGAGACAGAACGAACCGAAACAACAGAAACCGAGACGAGAACCGAGCCGGCCCAAACTGACTCGACGCAAGACAGAGCGAGACTGGGACGAGCTAGACACGTCCCGCCCTTCTGAAACCACTCGGCGTCTCCTGCCGCAGGAGCCGCACTCCGAGGGCCAAGACCCTCGTACGTGACCTGGGATGTGCGCCCCCCAAAGCCTCGATCCTGGCGCAAATTGCGATTGATCCGTGCTGTGCTGAACTGTGTTGCGTCGTGCTGTGTCGAACTGTGCTGCGTGTGGCCATCCCAAATACGGCACGCTTCGCTTGAGGCATCCGCACCACATCAAACACAACCAACGTTTCGCCTGAGATACCCTCGAAATGAACCCGCTGGCCCATCGCGACCCCGCTAACCATGGAAGAAGAGCTCGCCGGCCCTGCGGAAGGTGAGGACCAAGGGCAAACTTACCACGCCGCCTAAACAAAACCCTGGGCCCTAGCCATTTCCGGGAAAAGCAGTCCAGCGGAGGTGTCGGCAGATGCGGCCGGGAACTTCTGCACAGCGCGTCGCCGCGGCGGCCTCTCGGCGACGGGCTGCGTCTTGAGAGCGGACAGCAGCGTATCGCTGCGCTCCGCGGGGCGGGAGGCTCGCAAAGAAGGCCCGGGGCGTGGGCGCCTCAGGACCAGGAGGTGGTCAAGGTCTGGTGGCCCTCTATCTCGCCATCGCTCGGACGTCCATTTCCCGTGCATTGTTCGGTTTCGTGCGCGTTTTTTTTTGCTCGATGGTCCAGGATGGTCCTGGATGGTCCTCGCCGAGAAAAAATGCACACGTCCGAGCGACGCCAGGTCTGTTGGTACTTCTCCCGCACGCTGCCAGCAAGTGCCTGCGTCTGCCCCTGTCTTGTCGTGCACCTCGGCGTGGGCGTGTCGGCGTGGACGCCTCAGCCTCTCCCAAGTCGTCGCGGAGTTGAGCCTGCTCGTTTAGGCCATCGAGTCCCCGCGCCTCGTTCGTGGCGGTATGTATGTATACACATATATCTATATATATATATATATATACATTGCTCCGCCTCGTTGGTCCTGTGGAAAGCGGTATGCCTCTACGTGGCAACCTTTTTCTGCTTCTGCGGCATGTTCTCGCGGTCGTTGTTGCTCTCAGTAAGCTTTTGCTGCACAGTCCTGCGCTCGCTTTTTGATGCAACCATCTTGGCGTGATCGCGACGTTCTGGAGTATCTGTTGCGGCGTGCCTCGCCGCCTGGAGCTCCTACTCCGTCCCGTGCAGACCTGCAGTGTTTCTGGCTTGTAGGAGCTCATGGTGGTCGGCCAACCTTTCTTTCGTAATGTCGGCGTTGCCGACCGCATTATTCAGCTCGTTCTGGTAGTGCCAGGCTTGGGCTGCTTCTCTGTGTTGTCTTTGTTTTTGATCATGTGCGCTCTCTTCTTCAGTAAGTGCGTGCTGCTGGAGGTCGTGGACCTCTCTCTTGGCATCCCTCTTGCTCTATTTGATGTCCTGCGCCATCCCTTGGTTGTCCTCCTTTCGGGTTTTCAATCGTCGGCCGATGTCCTGCCCCTCCGTCGTCTCCCTGGGCCTAGATTGCCTTCTCGGAGCAGGTGTGGGCGCCCTTCTGTGTGGTCCATCTCCCTGTGGTTCGTGTGTCTCGTCATCAGCAGGCCCTGCGTCGCTGTAGACGTCGCCCCTGGCTGTGTTGATGTCCAAGTGAATCTGTTGTTGGGCATGTTCATCTTGGCGTCAAGCTTGGTGATGTACCTCACGCTGTCGTTCCGGTGTGCCTTGGTGTGCTTGTCATAATCCTCCATGGTCCGCTTTGTGTTGTCTATTTCCCATGGCCTGTTGAGCTGGAGGCGTGCTGCTGAGGATCATGGCTTCGGTGGATGCAATATGCGCCACATGGTTCGTAGTGGGTAGTCCCGCAGCGCTGCTCTTCATCATGGCTGTTGCTATGTGCCTGTGGCACATGATGTTGATCGTTTCCAGCCATCTCTCTGCTTGGGGCGTTTGATGGTGACTCCCAGTCATGCCTGCGGATGGCGTAGGCCTTGTGCATCGGCATGACGTTGTTGATGATGATCGTGATGTGGTCATTGTAGTCCTAGGCGGTGTCCTTCTGTTTCTGTTTGGACGTGTTCTCTGCCTCGGGTTGGGACTTGTGACTTGTGCTTGCCCTTGCCCTTGTTGTCGTTGCTCTTTCCTTTCTGGTTGCGGCTGTCGCCCTCGATGTCGCCATCGCAGAGCTTGGGGAAGCTTCCCTTGCCATTGCCTGTGTAGCCCTTGCCGTTGGAGCCTTCGTTCCAGTAGGTGTCGGGGTGGTCTTTGGTCCACTGCTCCACCCACTTTGAAGGGGCCCAAGGACACACAAACAAATACACACAAAGAAAAGGATTCCCAATATTTTCCAATATTTTCTGGGTTTTTGTCTTCCCCACCACTTCCCATATTTCCCCATATCTTCCGGGGGATCGACGATTAATTGTGTCTGTGTGTTTTTGTTCCCCTCCTGACACTTGTTGCTCCTGCAGTGACCGAGGCCTGCTCCACGCGCCGGCAGTGCAGCGCGTGGTGTGGGTCCTCTGCTGGGCGTGCGGCTCGAGGTGCTCTTCCATGGTGGCGTAGTCGCCGGTGATACGCTCGCGGTTGCTCCCCCTGGCCATCGCTCGGACGTCCATTCCCTGTGTTTTTTTCGGTTTCGTGCGGGGTTCTTTCGCCAAGTGATCAAGGATGCTCCTCGATGGTCCTCGTCGAAGGAAAAATGCACACGTCCGAGCGATGCCAAGTCCCATGATGCCACTATTGCGGGAGCTTCATGTGGGAGTCGCGGTGGTTGCTGTGCACTGTGGTGCGCCTGGAAGAACTCTTATGCAGCGCGGAGATGGTGCTGAGCCTGTTGGCCAAGTAGAGGTCGCGCGGGTGCGACTCGCAGTAGTACCCTCGCAGCAGCTCGACATTCTCGTTCGCGCCGACGACAGGCTGGGTTGGTCGACGTATATATCATGGCTATCTGGGGGGAGGAACAGGATGTAGTCGAAACGGAGTGTACAGAGTGTAAGAGTATAGGTGAGAACCGATGTAAGGTGTATGGGAACAACGGAGGTTTCAATCGAGGCTGGCCCCCCCCAAGGCTGGCACGCTGCCACGGGTCTCTGGGCAAACCGTGGCTACGTCTCCTCCTCCTCCTCCTCCTCCTCCTCCTCCTCCTCCTCCTCCGCCTCCTCCTCCTCCTCCCCCACCTCCCCCTTTCCTCCTTCCAGTCCGCTCGCGCCCCTCCCCTCGGACCCTGCCGCTGCCACAATCTCCGCCTCCTGCCCCTCCCGTCGGGCCCTCGCCCGCCGTCCCTCGGGCGAGAAGCCTCAGACCGCGACCGCGACCGCGACCACGACCGCGACCGCGACGACCCCCTCTCGGCCTGCGGCGGGCTGGGGTCGACCCCGAGCGCTGCGTCTGCCGCCCTGCCCTCCAGGGCCCCCCGCCGGCCAGATCTTACACCCCAGTCCATTCCACGGGGGCCGCCCCTCGGATGGCCCCGGGGCCCGGAGGCGGTCCCGAAGAGGAGTCAACAACCTGGTGCGCGCGAGATCCCTGGAATCGCCAGGTGCTTGCCCTCTTGTCGGAGCTCTGAAGTGCGGTCCCACCAGCCCTTCAGGGCGCGAGTGGTCTGGGAGCGCGTCCCCTTGGAGCCCCCCGTCCTTCTTCGATGTTGGGGCCTCCCCGTGCCCCCTCTCTCTGGACCCTGGACGGGACGTCTCGCGGGACGCTGGGGCGTCCAGGATGGCCTCGGCGAGGAAGCCCAACTCATTGATGCTACTGAGATGTTGGCAACATACGGGTCTCCTTGGGGGGGGGCCCTACTTGGGGAGTTCCCCTCCTTTGATCGATCTACTCCAATCTGATCCCAAGATGGCCCCCGAATCTTCCAAGGGTGCCCCAAGATGGCCCCAGGGGTGCCCAGGACGCCCCAAGAGGCCCCCAAGAGACCCCCGAGAGGCCCCCAGAGGCCCCCCCAGAGGCACCCAAGACGCCGCAAGAGGCCTCGGCGAGAATGTTAAAATCACTGATGTTGCTAAGGTTTTGGCCACAAGACGGCCTCCTGGGTTGGGGCAGACCCTGATTAAGGAGGCCCCCTCCTTTGATCGATCTCCTCCAACAAGATGGCCCCAAGACGGCCCCCGCGGCTAACAAGGGTGCCACAAGAGGGCCTCAATCGGTGCCCAGGAGGCCCCAAGAGGCCCCCAGTAGGCCTCCAACAGTCTCACAAGAGGCTCCCAAGAAACCTCCAAGCGGCCCGACGAGGCCACCGAGAGGCACCCCAGGCGCCCCAAGAGCCCTCGGCGAGAAGGCCAACATAATGTATTATATGAAGGTGTTGGCCGTATCCCGAGTAAGGAGCCCCCCTCCTTTGATCGATCTCTCCCAAGATGGCCCTCGAGGCTCCCAAGGGTGTCCCAAGACAGAGGTTCCCCGGAGGCCCCAAGAGGCCCCAAGGATGCCCCCAAGATGCCCCCAAGAGGCTCTCAAGAAACTCCCAAGAGGCTCTAAAAGGCCCCCCAAGAGGCACCCACTTTGGCCCAAGAGGCCCCCAGGACTGCCAAGAGACCCCCAAGACGCCCCAAGAGGACTGCAAGAAAAGAATTCCGGAGAGACTCCGAGAGGCATCCAAGAGGCCTCTGCCTTTCTGCTCGCCCTCCTCCTCCTCCTCCTCCTCCTTCACTTCCTCCTCTTCCTCATCCGCCTGTTCCTCCTCCTTCCTCGCCCTTTTGGGCTACGAAGTCTTACCCAACAATTTATGTCACTGCAGTCTCCTCCACATCCCTGATCAGGGCAACTCGTCTGGGCATCGTTTCTGGATGGACTGGTGGCGTTACGCGAGGCGTCTTGAATTCGGTCGTGGCGGCGAGAAGCTTCCTGGAGCCCCCCCCGAAACGAGCGAAGAACTTTCAACAGTAGACGCGAATCTTCATCCAAAACCCTCGATCGACGACGACGACGACGACCCCTGAAAGTCTGTGGAGATCTCTGGGGCCCCGGCGGCGGCGACGGCGACGGCGATGGCGACGGCGACGGCGACGGCGGCGGCGGCGACGGCGACGACGACGACGACGACGACGACGACTCCTCTCGGCCTGCGTCGGGCTGAGCTCGACCCCGAGCGCCGCGAGCGCGCTCGCAGCCCGCTCCTGGCGGGCAAGCATCTTGAGGGGCGAGAAGGGGGGGGCGGGAGTTCGCGCCTCCGGATGCCCTCCAAATGCTGGGGCTGCTGACTGGGAAATGGCGAGCGCGCTAGTCACGATGCGCTTCCGCGCCTCGGCTTGGTCGGCCGGGCCTCGCGACGGCAGTTCGACCGCCTGGCACGGGCCGGCGGGCGTCTTGCCGCGACTGGCGCGCGCGGACGAAAAAACCAAGGCAGCCACTCATTGCAAACATGTCACGACATCTGTCGCGGCAGGGCGGCCAACCGGCCCGGCAATCGTGGCTCCAAGATGGGCAGGCCAGCCTGACGCCCTCGAAGTCTCAGCATCGATGTTCCACGCGCCAGCGATAATCAACGGCAGCTGAGCGCTGGCTGCCAACTCGCCGTCCTGCTCCACAAACGTGACGCTGGCGCCCGTGAGGCTGATGCTCGCGTAGCCGTGCCCCAAGATCACCTAAACCTGGAGCTGTGATGAGACGACGATTCGGCGCGCTACTCATATCGCGTTGACGCTTGTATGTTCGTAATCCTCCGCGCCGACGTTCGATGCCGACAACGCTGCCGCGCCGCCAAGGGTGGCCGCTCAGCCTGTCCAGTGGAAGCAGCCGCTGGAAAAAGGTGACGAGTGACTACTGTGCGCCCGTGAACGAGGATTGGGAATCTGCCCAGCTGGCTCCTGGGGAAAATGTAGGCCGAATGCACTCTGATGGGTTGACTAGGGTTTCAGATTCAGAAGCCAGAGTCGCAGGGTAGCCCCAGAGGTCGTTCTGGCGGCGGTCCAAAATCCCCGGCGCGACTCGCTTGAGCCTGCAGCGTGTTCCGGCAAGCCTTTTTTTAAGCTTTTTCCAATACGTGTGCCTGGAAGCTCTCCAGAAGGTCCTTCGGAAGCTCTCTCAAGGTCCATCCAGAATTCTGCGCCACGCCTTTCGACGCCCTTCGGGCGCCCTGCTATCCAGGTCTTGGATCCCACAAGTCGCAAGTGGCCCCCGTTCGGAGTTCCGACGCTGATTTACGACGGCGCCCAGGCCTCACAACATAGCTCTTGCATACCCCATTCTCCGAGAGAGGGGGCCGGCGGCATGGGGCGAAGCCCTCACGTATCACGTGCGCGAATACGCAAGAAGCAAGCAAGCAAGCACGTAATCAAGTAAGCGTGCATGTATTTAAGTGCGTAGAGCATCAAGGAACCAAGGAGCAAAGACAAAGAAACCGTTGACCCAAGACCAAGATACCAAGGAACCAATACCAAAGGATCAAGACACTCAAACTCACGAACCAAGGAACCAAAGTCAAGACCAAGGAGCCAAGAACAAGAAGCCACGGAAACGATATCAAGGAACCAAGGAACCTATACCAACGAACCAAGAACCCAATACCAATAACCAACATCAAGGAGCAACGGACCAAAGAACCAATACCCAAAGACTAAGGAACCAAGACCAAGGAACCAACGAAACAAGGCCAAGGAACCACGAGACCGAAAGCAAGGAACCAAAAAATCAAGACCAACGAGCCCGGGCAACGCCTCGTAAGGAATCAGAAGCCCGAGGCAAAGCCGACGCATTCGCGGAACAAACAGCAACATCTACAAGTGCTCACTGACCGAGGGGTGTTGCTCCACCAAGAGTTCGCTGAATGGCAAAGGTGGCCGGGCTCTTGCTGCTGCCGCGGGCACTTACAGGTGCTCACTGAACGAGGAGGAGGAGGAGGAGGAGGAGGAGGAGGAGGAGGAGGAGGAGGAGGAGGAGGAGGAGGAGGAGGAGGAGGGGCGCTGCTCCACCAAGACCTCACGGAATGGCCACGGAGGCCAGGACGTCTTCTGCTGCTGCGGACCAGTGGTCTCCGTGTCTGCCTCGGGCGCAGAGGAGTACGTGGAGGAAAGGAAAGGAAGAGGACGAAGAGGAAGAGGAGGAGGAAGAGGAGGAAGAGGACTCGGGTAAGCACGCGCGCCAACTTCAATCGGCGGACTGACCTGGAGGAAACTGGTCAGCGATCGCGAGGGCCAGGGCCAGTGCAGGGCGTCTGCGCTGCGAACACGGATGGCTGGACACGGGGCTCGAGATAGATCACCCCCCCTTAGCATAATCCCACCCGTCCATATTTCAAGAATCTTTTAAGCACTCCCTCGGCCTCGCGTCGACGGGAATGTGATGCCGATCCCAGCATGGTGCACGTCCGTTGACCCTGATGGATTGTCATCAACTCTGGGGGATTGCACCACCACAGGGAAGCAGAAGTCTGGGGAGGAGCGAGCGTCGCCATGAGGGGCCAAGGTCAGTCTCTAGCCGCTGGTGTGCGCCTGCGCACTCAAGCGGCCGCCGTGGGGGAAGGCGAGCGGCACCGAGGGCGGAGCCGCGCGTGCATCGCGCGTGTTTAACGGTCGAACGAATGGGCGACGGAGGAGGAGACAAGAGACGGCGGTTGGCTAGCGGGAGGGATATGGCTACACTGCGGGTGCGGCCGCAAAAACCCTCGAAATAAACCCAACCCTGAAACCCGCGCGCGAAGTGTACTGGAGGGGAAATCAGGAGCACCCTGCACAAAGCAAATACTTCAACGGCTGCGGGAAGTCACCGCGCAGCGCGCGGTGCAAAGAAACCCAGTATACCCTGACGAAAAGCATATGGTTTCTTGATGCGCGCCCCACTGTACGCTACCTCGCGCAACCGGCGAGGAGGAGGAGGAGGCGGAGGAGGAGGATGAGAAAAAGGAGGAGGAAGAGGTGGGGGAGGAGGAAGAGGTGGAGGAGGAGGACGATGAGGAGGAGGAGGAGGATTAGGAGGACGAGAACAAGTAGGAGGAAGTTGGAGGATGAGGAGGAGAAAGAGGAGGAGGAGGAAGAAGAGGAGGAGAAGGAGAAGAGGAAGAGGAGGAGTATAAGGAGGAGGAGGAGGAAGAGGAGGAGGAGGAGGAGGAGGGAGGAGGAGGAGAAGAGGAAGAGGAGGAGGAGGAGGAGGAGGAGGAGGAGGAGGAGGAGGATGACAAGGAGGAGGAGGAGGAGGAGGAGGAGGAGGCGATCCTCGTACGATCGACGCCCGCCGCGGCGACGAAAGCGACGGCGGTGCGCGCCGGGCCGCCGGTTGGGGCGGTCGGTCCTGGGCGCACAGGGCCCGCAGCGGCTCGGCGTGGGACTGCAGAGCCTCTGGGCGCGACGCCACCGCAGGATCGAAGGCGAGGCGGGGCTTCCCATGATTTGCTACCGGAATATTTGGTCTGGGGCTCAGGTCGTGATTGTCCACGATGCTGCATGTCTTGGTGACGTCGGATCTCAGGGACTACGCACCAACACCGATCCTGGCCAGAGGGCCATCCCCGGCCCAGGATCGGTGAACGTACGCCCTCCTGGCCTGGCCTCGGCGTAGCCGTGCACAAGCACCGATCCTGGGTCCATGATCGCCCTAATCAGCCATATGAATAGGGGAACAAAAAGTGACATAAACATGAAAGCTCGGAGGTCCGCGCGGATTTCTCGGATCGGTGCTGGACCCCCCTCCCTGACGCGCGGAGCGCGCCAGGGGCGGCGCCGGAGGCGCCGCCGGGGGGCCCTGGCGCCGATCCGAGAAATCCGCGCGGACCTCCGAGTTTTTCTGTTCATGCCACTTGTTGTTCTGGGTTTTTGTCTTCCCCCCAATCCCGATATCTTCTTATATTTTCTCGGGAATCGACGATGAATTGCGTCCGTGTGTTTATTCCCCTCCTGATCGAATCCGAGGCGGGGCTTCACGGCGGGGAACCTTTGCACAGCGTGTGGCCGCAGCGGCCCCGGCGGCACGCTGTGCCCTCGAGCGGATCCCGCGCCGCTCCGCTCCGCGGGGTGGGCGGCTCGGGGAATAGACCGGGGCGTGCGCGCCGCGGGGCCGTGGAGTGGATATAGCGTGGCGCACCGCGGCGTGGAAAGCGAGGCGGGGGGTACCCATCGGACAGAAGAAGTAGGTAGAAACATGAAGTATGAAGGCGTTGGAAATGGATTGGGTTTCCGCCCGCCTCCTGAAGAGGAAAGGAAGAGGGAAAACCACTCGACTCTTGAAGTAGGAAGGCGCTGAAAGTAGATTGTAATCTGGAAATCCAGAAATACCTACTTTCAACGACCGATGGGTATCCATAACCATCGCCTGGGGGAACGACATGTTCGGGGCCCTCGGCGGGCGGTGGATCTGGACATGTTCGGGGCCCGGGGGGCCCACGTATATCCATGTCCACCGCCGGCCGAGGCCCCCGAAGATAAATCCCCGCCTCGGATCGAAGGGCTCGGCCTGTTCTCCTGCCGTCGGGACCCTGTGCTTGGCGTGCCGCGGCGGCGGCCCCGGCGACACGCTATGCCCTGCAGCCGGACAGCGTGTCGCTCCGGATCGCGTGGCGGGAGGCTTCGAAAAGGCTCGGGACGTTGACGCTCGAGAGCTGGGCCGTGGTTGGCGCGTCGCGACGGAGCGTGGTGGGCCAGCCTGCGGCGCGGCGCGCTTCGAGCAGCATCTGCAGACGGTGCCAAGAGGGGCCACCACCGAGGGGGCCGCCCACTCCTGCAGAACACGGGCGCCCCTGGACCCTGCCACACGCTCCGGGACTCCCAGGCACGCCCCCCCCCCTGGCCATCGCTCGGACGTCCATTTCCTGTGCTCTTTTTCGGTTTCGTGCGTGGTTTTGTCGCGAAATGATCAAGGATGCTCCTCGATGGTCCTCGCCGATGGAACAATGCGCACGTCCGAGCGATGCCAAGCCCCAGACATCCCCAGGCCTCCTCGATCGTCGCTCCTCCCCCCTCGGGCGCCTCGTGTGCGCCCGGACGCTGGCTGGGCTGGCCGAGGTCTCGCCAGCGGTGCCCGCCCGTGGGCGCCTCGTGGGCGCCCCGTGCGCCGGGGTCGGCCTGCCGAGGCCTCGCCTGGTGCCCGCCCCTGGTCGCCTCGAGGGTGCCCCGTGCGCTGGGCGGGTCTGCTGAGGTGTCGCCCGGTGGCCGCCCGTGGGCGCCTCGTGGGCGCCCCCGTGCGCTGGGTGGGCTGGCCGAGGTTGCGCCTGGTGGCCGCCAATGGCCTGCCGCGGGCGCCTCGCGGGCGCCCTGGTGGGCGGCCGACGAGCTTGCATCACAGAGCTTGCGTCACATACTGAGCGCTGCCTTGCGAGTACCACGTAGCTTGCACCACGTAGCTTGCACCGCATAGCTCGCAGAACAGCGTCTTCACCACACAGCTTCCACACCACATCTGCATATATACATCTTTATATCTGCATAAATAATTATGCACGCATCCACCAAAATAAATTGCACCACGTAGCTTGCACATCCACAGTTGGGCCATTTTCTGCTTGGGGCCAGCGCTGGCTAATATCTGGCTCTTCGTGCGCAGTTGTGCACGACACCTGACTTGCTACACTTGTGGGTACTTGTTTGTACATACATGCATGCGCACACACGTACATGTACCTACACACGTGTGTCATATATATGTATGTGTATATATATATATGTACATAATTTTCATAAGGCCGGGGGCCCCGGAAGGAGCGCACCCCCCCTGACCCCCCTCAAAACGAATTTTGGATCCTCGGGCCTGTCTTGCGCCTGGGGTTTTCTCGGATTTTCGACTCTCCGGCCCCTCTTAGTCCAACCTTAGGCTTCTTTGGGGCTCGTCTGGGGACTCATTTGGAACTGTCCTGGGGCTATCTTGGCGTCTCAAGAGCCGACCGTAAGCGAAAAGGCGACAAGGACAAAAACATTACTTCCCCAATGGGTTTTCATTGAGTTTCAATTCTTTGGGCCTTCTTGGGCCAGCCTTGGGCCTCTTTGGGGCTCGTCCATGGACTCATTTGGAGCCGTCCTGGGGCTATCTTGACGCCTCAAGAGCCGATCGTAAGCCAAAAGGCGATATGGCCCAAAACATTTTTTATGTTTTTTGTTGTTGTTGTTGTTGTTGTTGTTGTTGTTGTTATTGTTGTTGTTGTTTTCTCCTATGGGTGCTCATTTAATTTCATCCTTTGGGCATTCTTCGGCCAGCGTTGGGCCTCTGTGGGCCTCGGCTTGCGCCTCTCTGGAACCATTCTAGGGCTATCTTGACGACCCCCGAACCGACCGGAAGCGAAGAGGCGAGAAGACCGAACACATTTCTCCAATGTTTTTTCATTGAGTTTTGAACTTCCAGGCTAGGGCCAACATTCAAACTTGTATTTGCTACGGTCGGTTCTGAACCGTGTGCTTTACCATGGTATGCACTGTGCTGCAATTCGTAAGATACTATATGGCACCATGTATACGGTGAAAATGCATTGTATTGTTATATAAATCATCCCTGACATTCATTAAAACGTTCATATCAAATGTCTGTTCCCTCTTTGGGGCTCGTCTGGGGACTCATTTGGAGCCGTCCTGGGCCTATCTTGATGCCTCAAAAGCCAATCGGAAGCGACAAGGCGAGAACACCAAAAACATTGATTTTCCAATGCGCTATCACGCATTTTCTACCCTTTGGGCCCTCTTCGAGCCTTGGGCCTCGGTGGGCCTCGGTTTGCGCCTCTCTGAGGCCATCTTGGGGTCATCTTGACGCCTCTCGAGCCATGCGGAAAGGAAAAACGAAAAGGCCAAACACATTGCTTTTCCAATGGGTTTTCTCAGATTTCCGACTCTCCAGGCCCTGTTGAGCCAGCCTTGGGCCTCTTTGGGGCTCGTCTGCGGACTCACTTGGAGCCTTCCTGGGGCTATCTTGACGCCTCAAGAGCCGATGGCAAGCGAAAAATCGAGAAAGCCACAAATATTGCTTCCTCAATGGGTTTTCATTGGATTTCAATTCTTTGGGCCTTCTTGGGCTAGCCTTGGGCCTCTTTGGGGCTCGAAGCTGGCAGCCAAGCAGCGCGCATGCCGAAAATAGCATGGTCTGTAAGAGGAGGAGGAGGAGGAGGAGGAGGAGGAGGAGGAGGAGGAGAAGCAGGAGCAGGAGCAGGAGGTGGAGGAGGAGGAGGAGGAGGAGGAGGAGGAATGAGAGGAATAGGGGCAGAGAGGAGAAAGAGGATGAGGATGAGGAGGAGAAAGATGAGGAGGAAAAGGGGGAAGAGAAAGAGGAGGAGGATGCCCTGCTTCATGCTAGCCCAACCACTCGCCTGAGACATATTCGCGCCTCTGGGCCTCGAAACGTCCTGAGATGGCCTCAGCTGGCGTTGTCTGGTCGCTCCCGCTCAGGAACTCCTCACCCATTCAGACTTGGCGGTGGCCCGCCCGCCCCATCCATGTCCACGCGCACGCACGCCGCCTGTATTCAAAACTGCAAGGAACAAGGTGCATGGCGCGAAGCGCCAATGCAGTTTTTTTTTTTTTTTTTTTTTTTTTTTTTTTTTTTTTTTTTTTCTCTCTCTCTCTCTCTATATATATATAGACACACTGTTGCTGTGGATCGAAGGGCTCCCAGTTCTACACACACTGCCTCAGGCGCACGGTTCCCCTATGAGGACGTGCTTCGGCTGGTCAGAACAGTTGCGGCTAAAGCGAAGAAGAGCGAGTGCACAGCATCGAGCGCCACATGTGACAAGGCCGAAATCATGCGGCTGCTCAGGCAGTCGCAAAACCCCTACCGGGGCTGAGCAATACGATGGCTCGTGCGCCCTGCCCTCGCAGAGTGTCAAGGCTAGCAACAACATAGCGTCCAAACACATGTGCGCTGCTACAAAGAAGATAGCCACAGACGGCCCGACTCTCAAGTGCAATGCTAAAGAAGAGAGGAGCTAAGGCGTCCTAGTATGGCCGACCTCCAACCAAAAGCGGTGCTGAAGGTGACTCATGGCGACGCAACTCCCGATGCATACATACAAGGCGGCAATCGTCGTAACGCCCCGTTGCGTGCGCGCACCCGTCCTCTCCCCGCAGACGGTCTTAGAGGCGCAGGCGTAGCCCACCGTGGACGCTGAATTAGTCTAAACCCCCTAGTGTGCCCTGGTAATCCTTTCGCATGTCCTCTTGCACAGGATGGTTCTTGGCCTGGCTGGGGTGGCATGAACTCATGTTTAAAATGAACGTTGGGGCAGAGTCATACGTACATTTTTCACCCACAGGAGGTGCCGATAATCTGGGGTGGTGGTAGGTTATAACTCTTTCCGAGCAAGGAGAATCCATGTGGATCAAAATATGTGGTGCAACCTGTGCTGTGGAATCTACGTTGCGCAATCTAGTCATTTTGTGCATAAATGCGGTGCAATATCTGTGGTACACTCTATGCTGCACAAGCTGTGTTGTGCAACCTATGTTGTGCAATCTGTGTGGCGCAATCTGTGACGTCTAATCTATGTGGAGCTCTCTATGTTGTGCAATCTATGTGGAGCAACCTATGTGGCGGCGGCGAGGCGGCGACGGGGCGGCGACGGCGGCAACACAGCCGCCAGACCGCCAGACAGACGACGGGCGGCGACGAGGCGGCGACGGGGCGGCGACCGCGGCAACATCGCCGCCAGACCGACCATCAAGCCCAGTTTCATATAGAAGATACGTAAGTCCATACATACGCTTATACCATCTACATCTTTACACTTAGAACACACACAACTATATATCTATGTGTAGAGAGAGTGCACTTATACCATATGACATACACGCGTAGTATCTCTAATGCACCGAGCATGCTTGTGTAAACGCTTACAACACATATATGATGATCTGCTGCTGCTGCTGCTGATGATGCTGATGCTGATGCTGATGCTGATGCTGATGCTGATGCTGATGCTGATGCTGATGATGATGATGATGATGATGATGATGATGATGATGATGATGATGATGATGATGATGATGATGATGATGATGAGGATGGTACGAACGGATCCCAGGCGACCGCTGCTCGGGACGCCCCTGGAAGGGGCTCTCGACGAGGCGCCGCGGCTGGAAGACCACCCCAAGGGCCTGCTGACGCACCACACCGCACGAGTCCCCAACAGCATGGCGGCAGCCCGCCCGCTTCGATGCCCCGAGGGGCCAAGACGAAGGGGCCCTGGGACACAAAAATAAATAGACAAAAAACACAGGATTCCCAACTTATTTCCCACATTTTCTGAACTTTTGTCTTCCACCCCGCTTCCCATAATTCCCCCCTATTTTCTGGGGAGTCGACGAGTACTTGTGTCTGTGTGTCTTTTTCTCCCTCCTGACAGGACCTTGTCGATGAGCGCCTCGCACACTGGCGCCAGCGTCATCCTCCGGGTCTCCAGCCCGAAGTCCACGCACGCCAGGGGTGACGCCGGCTGCAGCCTGCCGCGCGCACGCTCTCCTCGAGCGAACGACGACCCCGGCCAGGACGGGCCTCCTGCAGCCGCACCCTCCATCTCGACGAGTCGGCGGCAGCGCCGGCGACGAGGACGAGGTCCGCGCACGCCAGGGCAGGATCAGTGAAAACCGAGTCGGGAGGGTGGCGGAGGAGGAGGAGGAGGAGGAGGAGGAGGAGGAGGAGGAGGAGGAGGAGGAGGAGGAGGAGGAGAAGGGGGAGGAGGAGGAGGAGGAGGGGGAGGAGGAGGAGGAGGAGGAGGCGGAGGAGGAGGCGGCGGACGGGATCGACACGTGCGTCGGACCGAGCTGCATTGGCGCGGAGGCGGCCTCGGATCGGGCCGGCGGCGCCAGAACGCACTAAGCAGCGCCGGCCACACACCGGGCCCCGTCGGATCGTCGGCACAGCGGGCCGTCGGGTCGGAGCGAGCCGGCCGGAATCAGCATCGAAGCGGATCGAAAGCGACCATGCGCTGCCTGCCGCGCGCCGCCTCGTCCCCTCCAGCAGCCCCCGCGGCCGAGCCCCGAGCTGCCCGCCCCCTCGCACTCAGTAGCGTTGTCGGCAGCGTTGTCGTCGTCGTCGTCGTCGTCGTGGTGGTGGTGGTGGTCGTCGTGGTCGTCGTCGTGGTCGTCGTCGTCGTCGTCGTCGGCCGCGGCGGTGGCGGCGGCGTCATCGTCGCCGTGGTCGTCCTCGTCGTCGCCGTCGTGGCCGTCGTCGTCGTCGTCGCCGCTGTCGTCGTCGCCGTCGTCGTCGCCGTCGTCGTCGTCGTCGTCGTCGTCGTCGCCGTCGTCGTCGTGGTCGTTGTCATCGTCGCCTCCCTGCCCGAAGTCCGCGCACGGTCCTCGAAGGCTCGGCCGTCCTCGGGTCCTGGGCGGGGCGGTCCTCGGGCCCCGTCGTCGACTATCGGAAGCGGGTCGTCGTCGTCATCGTCGTCGTCATCGTCGTCGTCGTCGTCGCCGTCGTCGTCGTCGTCGTCGTCGTCGTCGTCGTCGTCGTAGTCGTCGCCGTCGTCGTCGTCTTCGTCATCATCGTCGTCTTTGTAGTCGTCGCCGTCGTCATCGTCGTCGTCGTTGTCGGCGTCGTCGCGCAAGCCGCTGCTGTCGCAACGCAGTCAACGATCGGGGACCCCAGTGCGCCCCCACCAGAAGTCACTCTGGCGAGGGGCCACTCTTACGTATGGACGAGCCCCGATGGACACAAAAGTCGTGGACCCGCGGGCGGTCTCCTGGGACCAGCTCTTCCTCCCGAGCTGCTTCCCGACGGGGCCGCCATGTCGCCCGAGGAAGAGGCGAAGAACCAGGAGGACCAGGTCATCATCCGTGCAATACCATCCCGTTCAATATCAGTTTTTTTGTTTTTATTAAATTTTCTCCATCCCGTTCAATATCAATATCTTTGGACGCCCGAAATGGGCACGGAAAGAATGGGCAGAATGCCCAACAACAGATGCTGTCCCAAACCAACAGCGGCCGCTGGTGGGCAGGCGGCCCTCTGTCACCAATGTAGACGGGCCTCGGCGACACCGACGGCGAGTCTTGCTCAAGATGAGCAGTAGATGCTGTTGGGCATGGTACCCATCCTTTCCGCACCAATGTCGGGCGTCCAAAGTCTCGTGAGAACCAGGACCCGCTCCCCTCATTCCGGTCCTTCAGCCTCCGCTCAGCATCATCCCCCGGACCCCCCTCGGGGCCTCCCCTGGCCAGTTCTCCCCGAGCTGCGCGCCCCGCCGGGACGGCGAGAGGAGCCCAGGAGGCCCAGAAGGGCTCCACTCTCGCCTCTCGAGCTTTGCGGCGTCGGGCCCCGCCTTCAGGACCCCGTTCACTTCAGGACCCGCCTCCTCCACGGCGGGACGGCGGCGGCGGCGGCGGCGGCGGCGAGTCTCCGAGGTCCGAGAAGCCAGGTCGGACGAAAGGGGGCTACCGGCGTTGATGAAAATGACGGCCATCAGCGGAAGACGCGCAATGGTCGCCGGCACTTGGCCCCAGTCGCACATGGCGACGCGCGTCGCGCCCATAGGGCGGGCGCGATCGCCTCGCGGATTGCGCCTCGTTGCCCCCGCGCGTCGAAAGCCTGGCTGCCAGAGCGGTGGTATGGTCGAGAACCTCTGCTCTGTCGCGGCGGCGGCCCCAGCGACACGCCGTGCCCTGCAAGCAGATGGCGTGTCGCGCTGCTCCGCTGGAATCCCACCAGCCCTAGGGGCGCAGGCGGTCCAGGGAGCTTCCTCTTGCAACCCCCTCCTTCCGCCTCGGGGAGGGGTTTGCCCCTCCCCCCTTACCTCCTCCCCTGGACCTGGACAGGGCGCCCCGCGAGGTGTCAGAGGGTACTTTTGTGCCCAAGCTGGCTCCAAGAGGGCCTCAGAAAGCCCAAGATGACCTCCAATATGGCTCAAGATAGCCCAAGATGCTTCAAGTCGGCTCCCAAAATGCTCCAAGAGGCCCCAAGCACGCTCCAACACGGCTCCAAGACGTTTCCGAGACCTCCGCGGAGGCCCCAAGAGGCCCAAATCCTTCAGACACCTGGGGGAAGTCAATGATTGCTGCTTTCTCGCTTTTTCGCTTCCGATGGCCATCCGAGGCCTCAGGATGGCTCCAAGATGGCCCACGAAAGTCTCCGGAGAGGCCCAAGAGAGCCCCAAGAGAGCCCCAAGACGGCCCCAAGAGCGCCCAAGAGCGCCCCAAGAGCGCTCCGCCCCTGAAGCTCAGAAGAGCGCCCCACAAGGGCCCCAACAGGCGCCCTGACGGCCCCAGGAGACTTCGAAGAGGCCCCCAAGAGACCCCATACGAGGCCTCAAGAGGATCCCCCCCGCTTCCCTGATCACCTCAACTCCCCTGGGCATCGTCTCTGGATGGGCTAGGGGGAGTACGCGAAGCGTCAACACTTGGTGAATGTGGCGCGCTATCTACATCTTTTCCACTGTCGGAGGTGGAATCGTGACTTTTGCCGTTGTCGTGTCAAGCGTCGGTATTGTTGTTGGTGCCGACGTCGGGTTGGCATTGCTCTTGCTGTGCTCTTCCGGCTGTCTTCCTTCTGGGTGTCTTGACGATCATGCGGAGCATTTGCCGTTGAGTTCGACGGATCCGATTCGCGAGCTCTTCCGTCACCATCCACACTTTGCACCCATATGAGTTTGTAGGCGTGATTATCCCGTGGAAGAGTCGGGTGCGGTTGTGCATGGGGTAGTGGTTGTTGCCCGCAAGCCCTTGATTGAGTACATAAAGCGTTCTCCATGCCGAAGCAATTATGTTTTCCAGTTCTGCCTTGTGGCTGTCGCTGAACTGCAGCTTGCGCCCCTAGCATTCAGTTGCACGGAGTGGTGGGCTTACCTCGACCTCCATTCCGTGGAAGAAGACTTGCGCCGGTGGCTGTCGTGCTCGCTTGGGTCTGTGCCTGTTGCGCAAGATCTTGGTCTTGTCTGGGTGCAAGCGTCGCCCGGCACCTGCTGCTCCAGCGCTGAGGTCGGAAAGCGTTTGGGTGATGTCGTTGTTCGCAGTGGGTCGCTGCTGCTTGGTGGTGCTTGCATGCCGTACCGCTTCGCTGTCCGTTTCTGCTTTGCCCGTTTCATGATGTGTTCTGACGCGCCACTGAACAGCAACGAACTCGATGGGTCCTCCTGTTTCGTGCCTCGTTCGATATTTTGCACTTCTTGCTGAGCCGGTCGGTTTTGACAGAAGCTGTCTGTTGGTTGTACAGCTTCTGAAGCAGAGTGATGTATGGAATTGATACTTGCTGGTCTTTCAACTCTACGCAAATGGCCGCGTGCGTGACGCTGTCAAAGGTCTTCTTGAAGTCGATTGCTGCAGCCCGTAGTGGAGCTTGCCACTCGTCATAGATTCCCATCATAATTGCCGCCGTAAACAGATGGTCCGTTGTAGTCCAAGTGGGTCTCAAGCCCGCTTGGTCGGGACTTTGCTGGTTGCCTAGAGTAGCACAACGGCGGTGGTGCACCAGCTTGGAGAAGAGTTTGTAGAGCATCGGAATGGATGCAATACGTCGATACGTTTCTGGGCGGATTGGATCACCACTCTTGTGTAATACCTTGGTGTGCTTCCAATGAACTTGGAGGGAGGGTTTACTGCAACATCGTTGATGCGTCTTGGGTTCGCACTGGTCCTCCTCCTCCTCCTCCTCCTGACCCTCCTCACCACTCCCTGGCGCCGACGCCCTCGAGAACGCCGATGACGACGACGACGACGACGAGCACGCGGAGGAGGCGGAGAGTCGAGTACAGCGGAGGTCAGTCCACAAGAAACCCAACCCTGAGACCTCAGGGCGTCCATTGACTTTTGGTGTGGGAACGTCACGCTTCCGAACACGAAACCATCTGTTTCTTGGCATGGGCCTCCACTGTAAGAGAAATCGGCACAAGCATAACAAGAGGCTCGGTGCTGCGGAGCCCGCCAGGGGCGGCGCCAGAGGCGCTGCCAGGGTGAGCCCGGCGCAGAGCCACGAAGTCCGCGCGGAGCTCCCACAGTTCATGCCTGTGCCGATTTCTCGTCTTCGACTCTCGGTCCTCCTCACTCTCGTCGTCGTTCGCGGCGCCCTCGAGGGCGTCGGAGACGTGGAGGGGGAGGAGGAGGATCCTCCTCCTCCTCCTCCTCGATTCTGCTCCTTCACCTGCTGCTTCTCCTCCTCGATGCGGATTCTTGTTGCTGTTGTTTGTTGTCTGTTGTTTGTTGTTTGTTGCTGTCGTCGTCCCACCCGTGACCCACCCCGCGACCCACCCGCGACCCACCCCGAGACCCACCCGCGACCCACCCCGCAAACCCACCCGCGACCCACCCCGCGACCCACCCGCGACCCACCCGCGACCCACCAGCGACCCACCCCGCGACCCACCCCGCGACCCGCCCGCCGACCCACCCGCGACCCACCGGCGACCCCCCCGCGACCCCCCCGCGACCCACCGCGACCCACCCCGCGACCCACCCCGCGACCCCCCCAAAATTTTCGGCGCCTGCGGCGGGCTTCTTTTGCATTCGTTCCAGGTGGAGAACCTGCGACCCACCCGCGACCCAAACCGCGTTCAGTGTACAAGTCAAAATTTTCGGCGCCTGCGGCGGGCTGTTTTAAAATTCCTTCCAGGCGGAGGTGGAGAGCCCGCGACCCAACCTGCGTTCTCTGAACAAGCCAAAACTTCGGCGCCTGCGGCGGGTTTCTTTTGCATCGGCGACCCCCGCGACCCGCGACCCACCACGCGACCCACCCGCGACCCACCCGCGACCCACCCGCGACCCACCCGCGACCCACCCGCGACCCACCCCCGCGACCCACCCCGCGACCCACCCAAAATTTTCGGCGCCTGCGGCGGGCTTCTTTTGCATTCGTTCCAGGTGGAGAACCTGCGACCCACCCGCGACCCAAACCGCGTTCAGTGTACAAATCAAAATGTTCGGCGCCTGCGGCGGGCTGTTTTTGAATTCCTTCCAGGTGGAGGTGGAGAGCCCGCGACCCACCCACGACCAAAATACGTTCACTGACACAAGCCAAAACTTCGGCCTCTGCGGCGGGCTTCTTTTGCATCTGTTCCAGGTGGAGAACCTGCGACCCAAACCGCGTTCAGTGTACAAATCAAAACTTTCGGCGCCTGCGGCGGGCGTTTTTTGAATTCCTTCCAGGTGGAGGTGGAGGGCCACGAGGTCCGCGGGCTCGACGCCCGCGTCGCCCGCGCCCGCCCCCTCACTCTTCTCCGCAAATTGCGGGGGGCGACGCATTACATCGAGGCGAACGTGGTTTTTTTTCGGACGCTTTTGCGAGTGGGCACTTGCACTTTGCGAGTCGTGGAACGCGCGCTCGGTGAACCGCCTCCCTTCTGGAGCACCACCTCTCCGCAGCGCCGCCGGCCGCGATCCCCGCCGCAGCCAGGCCCGCGGTGCCCCCGCTCCTCCCGCGCGGGCGGGCTCTCGGCTCCGGGGCTTCGGACGGCCCCCGCCGCTGCCGAGGACTCCTTGGCCCCTTGGACCTGGACCCGAGGCCGGGTGGCGCCCAGGGGAGGCTGCCGGCCCCAGGGCTCGCGCTGCGAGCCACTCGCAGCCCTTCGGCATCGCCCCGCCGCGTGCGCCAGGGGGCGCCTCGCGGCCACGGCTCCCAGCCGGCGCTGTCCCGTCCCCTGCGGCTCTAGGCTCCGAGACCCCGCCACGGTCTGATTCGGCGGCCCTCTGACGGGGCCTCCACTGACGGGGACTTTGGCCAGTGGCCCAGCGAAGCCGATCCTCTCCGATGTGGACAGCCCTGCCATGCCAGCAGAAAGAGGCCCTAGAGTGGCAACTTTCGGCACGTTTCCACAACACCCGTTGGTGAAGACCCGTCGCGGTGCCGCTGGCTGGCAGTGTCTCCGGCCCGGCCGGCGCTCCCCCGCCCAAGCAGAGATGATCTGTCACTGGCGCTGCGACGGGAGCGGGAAGCTCCTACGTCCTTCGGACCCACGCCTTCTGCGCCTGCCAGCTCAGCCTCTTCGTGCGGTGGAGGCTGGTCCACAAGAAGCCTCCCACAAGACACACGACCCTGAGATCCCAGGACGCCGACTCTTGGTGTGGGAGCGTCGCGCTCCCCGTCGCAGAGCCATCGAAGCCCGAGAAACCCAGGGCACCCTGGAGGCAAGCAGGGTGCTTCTTGGCACGGGCCTCTACTGTACGCTTATGTTGATCCCATCTTACTTAAGGACCACATCCGAGAACTAATTTCGAGCAACCGGAAAAGTGTCAAAAGAGTATCGAAACAGCGTCAAAACAGTGTCGGGCGAGTGTCTCCCAGGGCCCGACACGTGAAAACCCTCGAATTTCGGTACTTGTTCTGGCGCTCGAAGTTCTTTCTGGCCATCAAGGCGGAAGTAGGTTGGAGCATCATAACTGTACGCCCTCTTCCCGACGTCGTCCTCCGTGATGCAACCCAGGTCAGGGAGGTGCCCTCCCTCGGCTGCCCCAGGCGGGGGGGCCTGACGCACTGGCGCCCCAGAAGAGGGCCCCCCTCCAGCCGAGCTCTCGCGACCTCACCGGGGCCGCAGGTCCAGGCGCTGAGAATACTCCTCCTCCTCCTCGCTCTT